ATCATGCAGACAATGGACCCCGGACTAGGTGCGTTCCAATAAGTCTTCCTACCAACATGACCATGTTGCGGAAACAAGGTCAAACAACTTCTTTTAAGCGTAGACCGGACTTGTTGAGCGCTGGAGGCGGTCATCTGTTCGTGCTGGCGAGTTTACTTCGAGCATGACTTCATCAAATCGTGGTCATTTTTGTGTTGTTTCATCCTCGCTCCGTTGATTGGCCACATTGCCACCGGCTCGTCGCATGTCCTCATTTGAGGGTTGTCGTCCGGTACATTCCCAGTCTCCGTGTCCTCCACTTCAGATGACTAAGCTCCTTTTCTGCTGTAATTTGCAGCCTCGCCGGCTCCTTTTGATTGTGCCTATCCAAGCGTACTGTTGTCCCCCTCGTCTCTACGGGTACCCCTAATCGGGGCTCAGCTTGCCCCAACTCCTATCACTTGAACAACTCGTGACTTATCTTATCGGCTGGATTCACTTATCCGGCCTGAGTCACACAATTTGCCACATCCGAGGCCGTCATTGCCCACATGACCGGTACCGAACGAATGATCGGATGCATGTGCGAGGGAATGAAGCCAAAGCATGATCGCCCACCTGCCGACCGTTTCGGTCTTTCGCCACCAGTCCAGAATTTCCCTTTCACTTGTCCCACTCTCTCTCTCACACTCCAGTTTCTTCATGTGTCTCCAATTCACTCAGTTGGCTCGTCAATTCGTATGTTCACACCTTGGATTGGTCAGCCACCCGAAAGACTGACCGCTATTTTCGTATTTAGTCGACTTTTATAGCAAATATACGTTTGTTTCATCGACAATCCCACCAAAGAATGCGATATGGGAAAAATCCTGGCCTTCCTTGAAATTCACATCTGCCCCATGGCCTAAGGGCATGGGGGGTGTAGATAAGACCGAGGCGAGGTCGAAGCTGCCTGGATGAGAACAACTTTTGGGAAAGCAAGGCTATGTGAAATTTGATGGAAACGTCAGCTCAACTCATATGATTGTGGAAAAATTATTCTTCTACCAGTCCTTCATCACCTTAAACGAAATTGGGTGGATGCATCTTTTATTACTGATTTACTGGTAGTCTCGAAACTCTAATTAGTTTAAGCTGATTAAGGAGTGGTAGTTGAATTTCCCCACAAGGATACGAGTAGAGCTGACGCTTCTTATGAATTTCACATGGCCTAGCTGTCGCAAAAGGTGTTCTCATTCAGGCTTAAG